TCTGGATATGAACCATAACACTGATCAGAACATTAAACCATATTCCGGAAACACTTATCTTTTTCTCTGCATAATATAATAAAGCGCTACGTATGGAAGAGTCACTTGAGTTCATGAGGAAAATATGACGGTTCGTCAAAAAGAGCATCAGAATATTTGTCAGTTATCGGTTGTAGAAATTTTTGAAGAGGTAGATTTTGAGCCCTAATTCGAAAGCTTCTAAAGATGAAACATTTTTGATGGGAGAAGGAAGACTGTTCCACAAATCCCCCCAAACAACACTAACCAGTATTTCATTCTTGAATGCCCTTTCAAAAACCACTTGTGGAATCTGATCTACTTACAGTTAACTAGTTATGTTGTGTGTTTCCATGCCCCACAGATGTAAGACTGCAAGCACATATGCATTATCTTTAATTGTACGCCCTACAGTTGCTTCCCTGCTTTGCTATTATTGCTAACCAGAGGTTCGACACTACCTGTATTCGATATTAGTTGTATAGTACACGACGGTTATGTCGAACTCAAGGGGACCGCCGATTTAGTTCATTGTAACCACATTTCTTACACGTATTTCGACTAAAATAGGGAGTACACAGCATGAGACCGGGACCTAAACGGTTCGTTATATCTGTTAGTTCGTTATAAGCGAGTTTGATACAAACACAGTTTAGTTTATCTGAAGACATGCGATAGCTATACTATATGGGTTGTACTTATTGTGTGACTTGATGTTGCACCCATACTTGCATTGTCTTCATTTGTGTGCATTACGGAGGCATGCATATATGCATTATCATTATTAGTGACTTGCGATTACATGTATATTAATGCATTTACGTGTTGCTTGGATACAGAAGAGTTAAACAATTATATTTTTTAAGTATTTTTTCAAGAATCATTTGCAGACAAAAAGGCCAAATAAAATAACTTAAAGTATTTTCAGGAAGATCGTTTTTCAAAGTCTCCCAGCTGTTTTGTATTACTTTTTTTCAAAATTCCCAGTGTCTCACCACGATTGGCTCTCTGAAAGGAATCAGGGTCCTCAATCTGAGAAGAGAATTCTGTAGCTACTAAGCTACCCCCACTTCTATAAAACCCTTTTCTTTTTACTGTATTTTTAAAACATCCTGAATATTAATAAATATATCATATTGTGAACATTTTAAGAATATCTAAAAAAGACACAACTTTTCTCTTGGTTCTCGTGGGAAATAGGACCTCTTTCCGGTGTTTTTAAGGCCAGTGGAAATAAGATACACGCATTGCTTCATTCATATCTCAATCATTGATTATAAATCTCTCGTTAATATCGCTCATTATGAGAGAACAGTCGGCGAGTCAGATTGAGTCAGTTTTTGTCTGTGAACGACTGAAGAGGTTCTATACTGGTGTCTCCTCTTGTTTGAAAGGAAGTATGTAGCTAGAAATGATTAATTGCATGTACTGTTTGGAGTATGAATACAGGGTGATCTCTTCTCATTTTCATTCGCCTGTCATCAGGTTATAGGTGTGTATGTGAACATATTTATTGACATTCATTTATCACTCACCACCCCGACTAGGTGTGCTATACTCCAGACAGTTGTCCGAGCGATCACTGAAGCGCATCGGATAAACGATGCTATTGTTTTCGCGATAATATTAGTGACCTTTCCCGTGTCAAGATTTAGAAGAATATCTTTGTAATGAATAGCCCTCAGGTGATATTGTATTACTATGAGAATGACATTGTCTGCGTTTACGGAGAAAGTCATCGAGTACACAACTGTAGCGGGATAGGAATGCAAACCATAACAAAGATTTAGGATTCAGTGAGAGAAACTAAACCGCCTATTAAACTTCACTCGATAACTGTCACTAATAATACGTCACTTTCGCTTTGTTTGGTTTTTTACACAATGAGAAATGATTTTTCATGTCTTGTGAAAAATGACCAGAGTGAGAGTGAGCAGGTATGGTTTTAAGTGGCTCGTAGCATAGTTTTACCATGGCTTCAGACATTGTACCAATGTTGGGAATAGAACGGGGACATTCGGCATGACAAGGGACCGGAGTAACCGTTTGGCTACCACGCCGCCCGTAGAAACAATACACATGAATCAAAATAACAAAAACTACGCTAGTTTATGCCATCAACTGACTTGAATGTTCATCTGCATTCCACTGCAGCAGAATCAGCGGTGGTGAAATGGGCAGTCATCAACAGATATTTATTGGATTTTTGGGACCATTTGGACCTATCCTTAGTTAACATCAGAAGAGTTTACATCTTAAAAGCAAAGGGATATAGTTGCTAGTTTTGTTCTACCCTAAGATAATCAGAATGGGCCGTGGGTGTTCTTGAACGCTTCCCTGTTGAAAAGAAGCGACAAAACCCTTTTCACATTTGTCATTAACAGGTCATTAAAACACACGCCTATAATAAGCATCTCATACGTCTATATGGTGTACTTTCAACGGCCATGTGCCACTTGAATGGTTTGTTCTTCCTATCAGCAAAACAAAATATATGATTACCCATTCAACCACTAAGCCGCAAGATTTTGTCTGTACTTTAATTGGCTATAAGCGGATTAGGATTAACAGTCCAGAACTTGCACAATTATAGTCTGTTCTAGTAAGTGGAGTTCACTCGACACCAAGTTCACTTACTGACCACACTGAACACAGTTCATAATGATCAGTGAATCAAATCAATCTAATGTATCTATGTATTTGCAGATGATATTTGCAATGCCATTTACAATTTCACCAAATTTGTCAAATAATTCATATTCGTGTATTTGTTGATGTTACATGCAATATTACTAAAGTTAAAAATGTCACCATGTTTGTCAAATGATTCGTATTCGTGCATTTATTGCATTTGCGGGTGTTATATGCAATAAGCAAAATGTGATAACTTTGCCCTTTCTCCGTATTTGCTGGCATACTTGCATTTCTAATACAGACTATAGCCTTAATCCCGATTTGTTCTAAGGCAAAAAGAGAACACTCCCTGAATGTTTAAGGAGAAGGGGATTTCTCCCCGGGCGTCATATACCTTCTTCAGACTTGGTTGACGGGACTGGAATCTCTTATCAGTTCAGATTATCACCCTTGGTCTGTCTGCTCCATACGCATGCTCGTATCGTAAATAATTGAAAGATGGTGGTATAGCGTAGTGGTTAAAGCTTCGCTCGACACGCAAAAGGTCCAGGTTCCATTCCCCACATGGGCATATTCCATTTGTGAAGCCCATTTCTGGAGTCCCCCGCCGTGATACTGCTGGAATATTTTTACAACGCGACGTAAAACGCACAGTTATTCACTTATAAGAACTGTGCTACCGCTTCAGGGGCTTTGTCAATTTTCAGATGAATAATTGATTTGCCTGTGCATGTGTTTGTGACGGGTACCATGAGAGACACAGGTCACGCTCAATTTTAATCGAACATCGGTTGTAGTGATTCAGAAAAACCTCGGTTGTAGTGATTCAGAAACAAAGCCATAGACGGAATCGTATAATAGACTTTTTCAGATTTGAAACCTTCGGATTCCAACTGGTTTCCTTAAACAGTATGTCTTATACATGATGCCATTAATATGGTAAAAAGCACCGAAACCATTTTTCAGTAGTATGAAAGTAGAATTACTCTTAGTGAGATTTATTAGATACTTTTATGTGATGTTTTGTGATTGTTATTTTGGTAGTCTGTTTTCCCTTTTTCAGGTGGGGTATGTGTTTTTTTACATATTTTAATTACCGCTGCAATATTGATTCACTCACACATTGTGATTCTGAAAGGGAGACGTCTGTGGTTAAAAGTGCGTGGGCTAAGGCCATAATGCTTGACATTCTGACAAACCAAGCATCATATGAACCCATTACCAGCGGATCCTGACTCAACTAAGGGACGAAAACCTGTCCAGCCATTTGTCCATCCACGCCCTCGATATATGTCTTACAAGCTCACCTTTTCGTGAACACCGGGTATTATCCCTACTTTGATAGTTATTCATGAATGCATGTTCATGTCATAGTCAGAATTGTAAGTCGCTTTTATGTGGAAAGGGTTTTGTCGCCTTTATTTCATTATGTCGGCAACCATGCACAAGCCTGCCCGTCCTCAAACGCCACAGGTAAGAGAACACGAAATCAACATTGAAACCGTGCCCTGACCACCACCCCATATCCCTTACCTGACCATATATATAGAGCTGTATGTATGTACACGGCAGGTCAGGCACACATTTATAACATTGAAAACTCCAACTCAAACATCTCCAACGAAACAAATTTATTCGTTTCATTCTAGGTATGTTCAATGTTCATGACATAATTAAAACAACAGCATTGAATAGCACAATAACTCGTTATATTGCAAAGCCCGGTTGGTGATAAAGTAACTTATCATGACTTTACATAGCACCTTTCAAATAACAAAAACATTAATATCATTTGGTAAGGCACTAATATCAATGAGACAATGGTCCATAACATTAGGTAACAATTACACAAGGTTCACAAGAAGATAGAGTGTAAGGACATCATTTGGCCGTTTGTAAGAATATAGTACACGTAAATATGTACGTGTGAAAAGCCTCATGAGATTGTGTTCATCTTCAAGACACGTGATCACATTCAATGTACACACTTAACTTTCTGACCGCCTCCGTGGTGTAGTGGTTAGAGCGTCCGCCCGGAGAGCGGAAGGTCGCGGTTCGATCCCCGACCGCGTCATACCAAAAGACGTTAAAATATGGTACTTGTTGGTCCCTGCCTGGCGCTCGGCATTAATGGGTACAACAAGGACTGGTCGGCTCGGAGTCAGTATAATGTGTCTGAGTGGGGTATTCATGCTTCACTGCGGCATGGTATCTCAGTGGGCTAGCACTATAAAACCAGCTTAAGTCTGGGCTAGTACAAGCAGCCGCACATACACATACACACGCATGCACGTCGTCATATGAGCGAAATATTCTCAAGCACGACGTTAAACCCATTTCCACCACCACCACTTAACTTTCCTAAATCTCGGTCCATGATTACTAAGTGCGGTAATAACCTGCTGGTTTATATCATTCACAGGGCGGTGTGGTAGCCTCGTGGTTAAAGCGCTCGCGAGGTCACTCAATACAATTCATACTTTACCAATATTGCCAGTGTAGTTGGATTTGTCAGAACTTGTTTCAGTAACCTACTTGACAAATATTAGACAAATATGACACTCCTGACAGTAATTGGATGAAGATAGTAGACTGCGGACAGGACCTTTAATGGTGAAAATAATGTAAAATATAAACATAAATATATAGTTTCTGCTCATTTGACAATATCACAACTTGATTGTTTGATGTAGTGTTCTTTAGTTATATGTTAGAGTGATGTTTATACTGTGATTACAAAGTTGCTGCTTAATGTTCTGGTACGATTGGTTACTCTGGTGCTGAAGATAGTCGCTATGGTAACGAGGAAGTCTGGAGATTCCGTCATTTCCATGTATGTTGGCATTTTGCGTATCAGTTTTAGGTAACTGTCTGTAATTTCCGCTACCATAACCTGGCGTGGAGCATGACGAGGTAGCAAAGCTGGGTGGTTCTCGGAACCGGATCCACGGAATATCAGTGTCTTTGCTGTTTGAATGAGCAAAACTGTTCTGTAGTACGTCAAAAGCCGTTTTAGGGGCTTCGTTTGGATGGGACTTTTGTTGAACCGGTTTCAGTTCTTCAAGCCGTCTTGGTGGAGACGAGGAACCGATTGCTTCGTGAGAGTCACTTGATTTACACGTGGAGAAGAAAGCACTGCTTGCACGATCTTGATTAGTCTGTTCGGCACCGTAAATAGAGAAATATCTTTCCGAAGAATGGATGGATGGAATATCTGGAAACTTGTCTGTGTGTATTTTGAGAACGATGGGTCAATGTGTGCGTCGCACATGTTTCCAATGCGGGATTTGGGACAGAAGTTAAACGGGTCACTTAGATCTGGCTCTGACTTCACGCCTGCACTGTTACCTTTAGCTGCGTCCATATTAGTGACGTCATCAAAACGTGTGTACCCAGTTGATGGATCGGAATGCGTTGGGATGAAAGCTGACGTCTTATGGTCAATTTCTGGGGCGTCATAAAACGATTTTGAGAACAGATCGGACCTGAAGAATAAAGAGTCATCTCTTTGACGACTGTTTGGTTCAAACATAGAGCTGAAGTTAGGGATCTGACCGATTCCTTGGCTCGTCGAACAGGAAACAGACAAAGATGGCTGAGTTGTGGTGTATGATGGGAATTTTCCCTCGTCGTACAAAAAGGAAGATGACCCATGGAAGGTAGAAGCTCGTGACCGGTTGTAGTCGGGAGCGTGAAGCCGATGATCAAATGAAGGCGTCGAGGCATGTGCATTGGTGATGCTGATCTGCGTAATGGAGGCACTTGGTTGGTATGGATCTTTGAAAATATCACAAGTTGGCAGGAAACCTTTATACGATCGGGAGTTGGAACAGGTGCACTCAAACGGCGGACAGGAACACATGACGTCATCTTCTGTAACAGAGTACAAAAATATAATCCATCATGTTCAGACAATTTTAACACCATATGCAAACACTTTGCCCTGATTAAGGGGTATGAATTTAACAAATGAATACATATACAACAAATGTGAGCTATGTTTCACTGTGCACTTCAGTGCCCATTTACAATGGTTATTTCTTATGGCTACTTCATATTTGTTATAATTACGCTGGAAAATCATATCAAATGAAAAGTCTAGAGTTTACATCCTCAATTCTTGTAAGAGAAACTATATTTTCCTGGTGTATATTGGTACCGAGTACCTACATGGATGAATCATCAATGGCTGTGTATGACGTACCTGTTTGTGAGGAGAGGAACTTCTTCTGGGCAATATCCAAGGACGGTTCACTGGCGTGACGCTTACGCTCTGTGTACACATTATCCGGGACCTGAAAACGATTGAGTGGACAGACTGAATGAAGTGTTAGTTGTTACACACATTATACGTTATTGACAGCTGACTCCTGGGAGTTTCTAGGACTTCACAGTCCTGCCCACAACTAAGCACGCGTGATACATGTGGTCTCATCCTAGGCAAGTGAGTTTGTTCAAAATTGTTCATCCGGCAGAAAATGGGTACCTGGCGGGATAAGTCATATGACTATTAACATTCTACGCCTAAGCAGCTCGGGTTTTCCGGGTAATAACGTCCATCATGTTGTATGCGCATGCTCGTGCGGGATGGAGTTCAGCGCTTTATAATGGCCTTATTATTGTGTGATTTAATCAAACTATTTATGCAAAACATACATTGTACAATTATTACTTACGCCTGCGCTCTTGCACTGACGACTTCCGGTTATATGGCGGCGACTCTCTGCAACAGACTTAGCTTCTGGTCTGGGATGGTCGTGGTAACCTTTGGCCTGGAAGTATATGGCCCCGTTGAGATGTCGCCAGAAGTGGGTTACCGGGTAGCCACAGTGACCCCGACATGGCATCAACTCCAGACGTCCAGAACATGATGGATTTGGACAGGGTTTGTCTGAAGAAGGAACACGGAACTGAGATTATAGGTCATCCCTCCATGTTGTAACAAAGTCACGTTTGCTTTGGATTTTGTTTTACGCCACACTCAGCAATATCCCAGCTGTATGGCGGCGGTCTGTAAATAATCGAGTCTGGACCAGACAATCCAGGGATCAACAGCATGAGCATCGATCTACGCAATTGGGATACGATGACATGCGTCAGCTAAGTCAGCGAGCCTGACCACCCGATACCGTTAGTCGCCTCTTATGACAAGCATGGGTTACTGAAGACCAGTCCTAACCCGGATCTTCACGGGTCAACAATGAAAAGACCAACATTAACAAAGTATAATTTCTGTTTAGGGACAAAGCCTCCCAGGCCAATGGTAAATCTGGTTTGTATTATGTGTTATTTTAAAAAAGCCATAAACATATTTTCAGAATGATTTTATTAATGCTTTGAGACGATATCTTCAAAAGTTAACAACTCACTCATTTGCTTTCTTCTTGCTTTGTCACAGATAGCAGGTCTGAGATGAACCTTCTCGCCATTCTCCAGGAGGCAGTCGAGGTTACACACAAGCACGCCAAGGCAAGATTTCTTCAGAATAAGTGAATTATGATTGTTTGTATTGCGCATGGCCCAACCGCTCACGTGACGCCTCCCATCTTCCTGTTCCGGGCTGTACACGTACCGCGCATGTCCGTTTGGCCATAACTGGAACTTATCGAACTTGACTACCTGTGGACAAAAAATGTTAAGTTAAAATATGTGCAGTTTATTAATTTTGTTCCCTGAGTTCTTGTGCTAATTATGTTTCAAAAGACCCCATAAAGAGACAGTCCCATATATTTTCATTCGTATATATTGTACGTAAATATTGACGTGTTATTGTGATCTACACTTTCAGAATTCTTTTTTAATATCTCTTACTCTCTTACTCTCATAACCATGCAAATGATCAGTTTACAGTGCATTCCTTCTTCGTGTGCGATTTCCTCTTCTCAATGTTTATCAATACATATCAATTATTATATCCATTTCACATATATCTATTTAAACTGCATATCTCTGGAGCTTACATATTCATTTACTGTTTTCAAACATATTCTTGAATTCTTCATAATGTATAGAAAATACCTTTACATTATAATAAACACATTAAATATCGACATCATTTAAGTATCTGAGTAACTAGCCAGTTTGTAGTGATCACGTTTCACAGTTGAGAAGGGATACTTATTCGTTCAAGAGTTTACTAAAAATTACTAAATCCAAAAGGTAAAAGAAAAAAGTCTCAATCAAAATGGCAATTAATATTTAATAGCGCACAATATGTCTGTTATTGCATCACGACCCCTTCCGCAAGGGAACGGGTTGGCATCACCTCCTTGTCTTATTTCAAATGAAACCTCTCAGGTTTTCGGCCTGGTTCAAATCTTCTATCCTACTCGTACCCTCATCCTACTCATGTTTTGGCAAATTAAACCTCTCCAAAATAGAATAAACGAGCTATCTATTAATACAATATGATCCACGGCTAATGACTAGGAATCGAAGAGGCCATGTGTGTATGTGTAATCCTATTCATACAGAAGGCTCATTACACAATATTATGTTACCATTTGAGAAGACAGAGGTTTCTTCATTCAGACTTTACGCTTCTTGAATTTTACGGCTTAGAAATGATCTTTTCAGCAAGCTTAAAAGGGTACTTTATTTATTGTCGATTGGATTTGCGAAATTTCGGGCCGCATTAGCCCTTCTGTAATGTCTAGTCACACTGTCAGCTGTCAACAAGAATTTGATACAGAGGTTTTGCTCAGACTGAGAATGTCCCAACGATTTCATTGTGTTCATATACGCAGGAACTGCTGTGTTGAGAGATGGGGAGTGTTATTGTAGGTCGGAGTGTTCTACTAGGTAATTGTTATTCCTGGTTTCTCTTCATTGTCTATTCTCGTCGAATTGAATATAATAGATAGAGCTTAGAGCGCTCAGTCATTAACTTCAACTGACACGTATTGAATTTTGTGTTCAATCACTATCGAGTGGAACTTGCCTGACACTATCGGTGATAAACAGTGGAAATGTGGGTATTTCTCCTTAAGATTTTCTCATGTTTTTCACCGATGCATTTCACCATCAACATCAGACGCAATCAAAAATCATTAATAAACATAGGCGAGAATATGATACCTTAACCTCTTGGTACAAAACGTAAGAATAGATTTCAGCACGCATTTGGGAACTAAGTCCAACATATGTCGCTACAATTTTGTCTTGACCACTGTTGAGTGTTGAGGTCAAACGTCTCATTTTCCGAAGTCACCTATAATGACAGATTATCAGGTTTTAAATAAAGGGACTTCATGACTTTGACCAAAAGTCACAAATTAACCTGTCGAGTAGCCACTGGTAATTTCCTACGGTCCACACCCCGTCTTTGAAGACCGGCGACATGGTACAGATAAGGTGTCAGCAGAGGATGCACTTGGGATGTGTCTGTCATTTAAACAGCGTGTTTATGTGTGTTTTAAGAAACGGAATAAGTGTTGGTCATCAATAGTCCGTAAAGTATACTTAACAAGTCAACATGACAAAAAAGGACGACTCTAATTTTGACCGTTTGACCAATCCTCCCGTGTACAACCACCTCCATAACTCAAGCCATTATGCCAACATTACGCCTCCCTAAATCTAAACCAAAATCCTCTTCTTAAGGAACAGAAAGACAATCTCTTGTCATTTGAATTACACTGGCAAAATCCTCCCGAAATGGCTTTAGAACTTCAATAATGAACTTAAATTCAGGACTTTGAAATACAGTAACATTTACAAACGATGAGCAGCTGAGGATACCAAAGATTATTTCTAAGGATGTTTTCATGTTAAGAAGCATTTAAAGCAAAGGTCTATTGTACCATACAAGACTCACTCGCCTTTGTTCGGTTTATGTGTTATTTTCGTTTAGTTACCAGTGCGGCATAGTTTTAGGTGTATTATGCCTCTACATCGCAGCATTTGTTTTGGTTTTTCAAACAGAGATGCGGGCATCCATATTTCTCCCCCGGCTCTCAGTCTGGCCACATGCCATGCGGGCGAGAAAGAGAGACATCGACACGTCTAACAAAAACTTAGCAATTTCTCCGTCTTGTGAAAATATTCTCCGACTGAAAATGAGAGGCTGGAAAAAGACTAAGGTATGAGGTGCCAGATTGCATAGTGATTGGATTTCGTGTAATTAATTTATGTATATATTTCATTTGTTCTGAATGCAAATTAATTCGGGTAGAATTGAAATAGAGACGTTGAATGCAGGTTTGGGCTCTTTCAGGCCCGTGCAAATTGATGTTTAATTCGAATTAAGAACCAAAGTGAAATTGATGAAAATTAAAAAGTAATACCCTACAAGTCTTCTCCCCACGGTCACGCCGACTCAATAAAATGACGTTATAACTTGAATTTGCACATCAAATGATCCATTTTCATTCAAGATCATGATATTGTTGTAAATAAATATAATAGTAATTTGTTCAACATCGAGAAAAGAATTAATTTTTGAAAGCATTTCATATGAGATGTTATTAGTATATTCTTTTTCTTTATCAGTAACTAGATTTTTATGAGGTTATGTTAAACATTGAAATTCAACGTATCATGAGAACCTGCGCCCACTAGCTCCCCAGCACTCATTGGTTTCAAGTTATGTTCAGTGAGGAGTCATCCTTTGTAGCGTACTCTTAACAACGAGCCGTCCATTGTAGGGGCAGTAATTTAGGAACCTGTCGTCCTCCCTGCATCGTAACCCCTCTCCTATCTTATTCCACCCCCTCTCCTCAGGCCGACACCCCCACCCCCCAATCCTACCCATTCAAAATAAAACTGGGGGTCATCGGCACGCGCGAGACGCCACCATGCCACGCTTCGTAGCCCGGATTTCTGTTGGAAAGGATATCTATTATTTCCCTGTTGGGATCGAGGGTCACACATGTGATGTTCCTGTGCATAGTCCCATATCCAGGTTCAACAATACCTCCATACATGTTGTTTAATTGTTACTACTTGGTTGCGGGTAGACAGGGCCTCCTAGTTGTCACTGAATCCAGCGTCGAGATATAAAGCCAGAGTTAAGTTAGCAAGTGCTTATATGATTTTATTAACACGGATTTGTTTGAATTATACTGAATGAATTATACAATGTTAAATTGGTAACGAATACTGTATATTCATGTGATTATTCATGCGCGCAAGTGTAAAGCTTATCCAAAATCAAGTTTCCGGACATCAGGTACACGTTTATCGATTAATGCAACATGTTTATACCGCCTATTGTCTATTTATAATGACTGAACATTTTAGCTCATTATTCACGCTGGTTTACTCGCAATGTTAAAAGTGATTCAATTTAGATAAGATTATCTTATTTAAAGTTAACAGCAACTGTCTCAAAACACAACCCTGTGAAACTCCTTATGTGCAAAAATGAACGCCAAAAACAACTCACCGAAGGCAGACCGCTGTCGTTGATGTCCCATTGATGTGTAGACTTTGTGTGGCCAACGTCGACGTTCCTAGGAACTGGGGAGGATAGCGTCGGCGCATCGATAGGCTGGGGAAGACCTGGTTGAGGGGTACGAGTGAGACTCCGTGCTGACGGCATTGTTGCCGTCGTGTCTTCTAAATGCATATGTTTTCACTTCTGTAAGGAAAAGTACATGTAAATGGCATGGCATTTAAATTGATATTTCCCAAATAACTAAGCCCTTTCAATACGCAGCATCAAAAGATTGATATCCAAAATTCACACTCGGAAATAAACAAATACAAAGATGGCAATTAAAACAAGCAACGACAGCATAATGATTTACCTAGAGCAGTTACACTTGTGCAGTAATACAAACAATGTGATGTTAACTCATAAGCATGTCCAGGTTAGTACATTCTGGAAATTATATTTACAACTCATCTCTGGTGAAAGAACTTATGTGTTTCGGAACAAGTGAAACAAGTTACATTCCATATAAACGTTCAAGCTTTACGGGAACAATTTAACTCCTTTTTCAATGTCAAGCAATAGATAGGTGAGGGTGAGGAGCAAGACACTTACGAAAATGCGGGAAAGACAAAATGTTGATCCTTAATAATTGACACTCGATACCTTATTTGTTTAACATGAACAATGGAACATGCGGGATGTAGTTATAAAAGTTCGTGTCACATGTAACACAGTAAATTCAACACAGTATAAAGTATCATGCGATGTACGTATCTGGAACAAGCGTTGAAGGGGAGGTAATCCCGTTACGGACGACTCTGCCCAATTTACCGACTATAAATTATCAGCCGCTATTATTGGCCGGCTGCTTTGACAAATATGACTGGTGATTGGGCCGCGCTGATGTCTTAAGGGTCTATGGCACGCGCTACAGCAGTCATGGCACGTGCCCAGCCCACAAGAGGGGTCAGTGTATTGCTTGAATCACTAATAAGAATAACGTCAGAAAATCCAATAAAGTACGTGTCAACCGCATCCAGCATTTAGTGACAATATTTCGATGTTGAATAATCCCCTATTCTGAGGTGCCTCGTTCTTAACGAACCCTGATTTTTACTTAATTGTCACCGGCGTTTGTGAAAAATATTTAAGAGACTTGAAAGATTGACTCACTTGTTTACCGGTTTATTGTTTTGTGATATTTGATATGGAACATATTTTGGAATTGATACTGATATTCTTTCCTGAAAGTACATGTTCAATTGACATTTCTGTCGCACCAAAAGCACCTTCTATTAAAGTTTCAGTTTCATTCTTAAATTCCAATATATTTTAAGCGCAATTACACATTAGGAACGTATGAAAAACTGAATTAAAACAATTTCGAGGATTTAGAATGTCAAGAATAAATAGCTATCTATATTGTTAGCTGGCTGTGTGTCTGTAATATTGTCGATACGGCGTAAATGTTTACTCTCTTAACTAAACTCTTAGCCCTCATCTTAGCTTTAACGAGATATACCTAATGTTACAGAAAATTGGTGTAGGATCCACCTGAATGACGAACGCATAACTAAAATTAAGACTTAAATAAAAGTTATTCTCTGGTGTCTGCTAAAATCATTTATAAATTCCCATTCTTTCAGTTCTGATATGTCTAATTGCTCCGGTAAACACAATCGGGTAAGTTAAGGTGTTTTATGTCCCCTAAATATAATATAATATAATATAATATAATATAATATAATATAATATAATATAATATAATATAATATAATATAATATAATATAATGCGACAGGAAACTAAGATTATGCGATACTTAAATCTTGTAAGATACATTCGAAACACAATTCTACGAAATCAGATTTTGTACAGATATATCATATTATCTTATAACAAGTTATCACCAAAATCACCAAGTTATAACTCATATACATTCCAAATGCTTTGTTAAAAAACAGCGTGAAACAATATTTCATTCAGTTTTCAGAATCAAAAGCAAGCATGTTTCAATGTCAGTTTGTAACCTACACCTTTCTTATATTATTTAAGGAACATAACAGCACCAATGTTATCTACCTATATCCAATATGTGACGCTATATATGTCAGTGTAAATACACTCACATTGAAAAACATAACTGATAAGTCATATTACACAAATCCATATCAAAATGAACGTATAATTTTACAAATGCTAAAGAAAATACTAACCTGTATGATATGATGAAGGGGATAGGTATCCGCCTTGCGTGACACCTTGTTCACACTGTTTTTTCACACACAATCTCTCTTGAAAATGAATCACCGTTGTTCTTTGACGGCGGTTTTTACTATCTGAGGGAGTCGGCCTGTTGCTCTTCTGTCAAATACACGACACAAAATACGCGCACGCGCTGAGACCCACGTGGTAATTTATAGCCCGCAAGAGAATCCTACCTCCCTTCACCGCGGACCAATCCTAACGGTTCTCACTCGTGACGTCACAAGAATAACGGTTTTTGGTCGGAACCCACACGAGTGATATGCTAATCGAAATACATTAGCCAAACTTGTCGTGACATTGATGAGATTACAAAGCAGTCGACGCGTAAAACCGCAAAAAATTTCTAAAAAAGTTAGCATTGTGTAGAAAGCATGCTTTCTTGGAGAACTAGATTTATAGACCAATATGCGGTGATAATGATTGTGACTATTTAAACTCGATGAAATGTCATGTTATGGATTTAGGGTTATATATAGCGGAAATGATTAGGAAATTTATGTAAGGTAACTGGCAGTAATGCAAATTATTCTGATATATTAACCATATAACAAACCTTAAATCAAAAGTACAATCATTATCGTCTCCCGTGTCTATGTCTTTGTTGTATTTTCTCAGTACATGGTTTGCTATGTATCCGTAAAGGCTACTTTATCAATGTCTTTTAAAGTCATATGAGGGAATAACAACAAAGAAGGTTCCTCAGGGAGATTATAGGTATAGGGGCTTCATAGAAAACATGAAGTATCAAATACAATTACTATTATTTTTTCCGTTATGAAGCCGTAGCTGTCATTTAGACATTGGGTTTTTATCATGACAATTTTCAGAACATGAAGAAAAAATGAAAAATAAAAAACATAATCACCTTTGCAGGCCGGTTGTTTGAAGATATTTCATTTCGAACAATGGCAGCGCTGACATCACATCAAAGCGCCGATTAGCAGGGTTTTGTTTCACCCACTAAAACAGCGAGCGTTTGTCGTGCTCGTACCAGCATTGTAACACTAAATAAAACCAATTTATGTCTTAAAAAAGGTATGCGTCGTAGTGTCCTGTAGCGGGTGGGTTACGTCAAACAGTGGAGACAATGGCCCTGTTCTGCTCTGTCGATATCATAAGACACTCGGAATAAACAAAGTTAAAATGATACTTAGTAGGCTGGAAACCCTATCTTTATTCTATTTCTTCATTGTTATTACCAATCAGAGCCAATTAACTTATGGCTCCCTATGTTAGGTGTCCGCCTTCATATCTTATTACTTTTGTTGTTCTCGTATGTAAATATATATGTTCCCTGCTTGCCAACTTTATTCGCCCGATTAAGAAGTAGAATTTTTCTTATAAAATTAGTCGACTTCCATATTAGTTTGCCTTTCATTGTATAAGTTATTGTTGCTACTGGGAACACATTGCCATGGCTACCTAAACTGGAGTGGATGATTCCTGAGTAGATGATCCCTGAAGGACGATGCAGAACCAAGGCACTCTCTGGACATTTGAAATGTCCATTTGTTAATATATGAAATACCATCATGAAAATCATCACACATACTCAGTTGTCTTACAACTGTCTTTTCTTTCTCACTTACAAGTTTTAACTTCTTACATAACTTAATTTTATCTAAAATGAATGAAAACATCTAAACAAAAATATGAGTATTTACCTTGGTTATATGTACAATACGTTTTGTATTTTATTTTCGCCAAAAATTCGACATAAATCTTACAAAATCGCTTTTCCGAAAATAGTAAAATCTTCTAGATACAATTCAGCGTTACGAGTACATATAGTACTTCAACATGAAATTACTGCAATGAGAAAGGCCTCATTCTCATTCATATGAGCACAACTGATAACTTTCATTTGGATTTTGTTACGTTTTTCTTACTTCTAAAATTACACATATCCCGTGGATCGGAGAGAGGGCCTCATACCGCCTGTGATTTGAACGATATGACCTTTTCATAACAATCACAGTTCCACCTAACACGGGAGGGTCATATTTAAGGAAAGGCGAGCATGGTTACTTGAAGTGGGCTTAATTTTCACGGCTATTTTTGTCCCTTACACTAAATGGAATCTGGGACTTCTTTCGCATTGACTCTTTATAGTAAGGTTGATCACTGGATTGTCTGGTCCACACTCGATTATTTACAGCCATATAGCTGGTATATTGCCGAGTGCGGCGTAAAACTAAACTCACTCATTCACTTTATATTAAGACATTGTGGCAGGTAGCAAAGCCACTACGTGCTTTAGTTCAGAGGATTCCGTTGTAATAATTGTTTAGCAACACAATCACATCTCAAATGATGAAGCTACGATTCTGTATTGCATTCAAATGTGAATTCAAATGTGAATTTCGTTGTTATTGTTTCCGAGTTAATTGTATTCAAACTTATCCACAATCACAGATAGTCTCTGAACTGGCTGGATTTGCCCACGTACTTGCTGAAAGTGATGGTGGATCATTCACCTACGCCATCCCTTGATTCCGGGCAATATTGGGAAAGTGAGATTTCAAGAGAAACTAGGCGAAACTGCTTTCTTTACTGTTATTATCATTTCTGGGTATTTAGCTGACAGAAAACCAGACCCTATCTTCTGTAACGTTCATTACGTATTTCAGTGTTTTCACATTCAGCAGAAATTCTGCAAAGTATCTGCTTGTTATCTGTCCATCAATGAAGTTTCAAGTTGCTTCCGGAATTCCATCTCGTAGTCTATTATCTAATTATTCCTGCTAGACATCATACGCTTAATAGTACGTGTTATACCACGTGTTATCATGTCGCCTGTTATAATAAACACCCCATTGCAGTGAAATGATGCTGAAATAAATAAATTACATTCATATAATTTTAATTATACTCTCATGAAAATAAAACATGTTACATTTGCTTTTCGTGAAGTAAATGCGTTTATG